GTGCGATTATCGCGTATGGCGTACCACTCGACCAGGGTCGGGCGATCATAGCACAAGACCAGCATCTGAGTGCTGACATCCACATTGAATACGTTATCGGTAGGATGCGTACAGTGCTCCTCGAGAGGATTCCTAGGACATTGAAGGAACATGACAAACCAAATAGGAAAGGAGATTGGCTTTATGCTTCTCGTGGTTTTGGCGAACTCGCCCATAGACTCCCTGGTGTCGAGAAGAATGACGAACAACGGCCGCCTCACATTTTTCTGGTACTCATTGTACTTTCTTCTCAAAGCCGAAAAAGTTGTGGTCATGGTCATGACTTGCTGTCGTGAGAATTCCCGCGACCACATGTGCACCAATGTCGTCGTGTTCAAATCTGCACATATATTTGCATTTGATGTATTATATTTTTATTTAATGTTAGCGTCTGATATTCTATCGTGACATGATATTAATTAATTTTTCCAGAGATGATTTTTTACTTTTTTAATACAGAACAGTAAAAGCCTATGGAAGTTAACTAACACGGATGTTGGTGTTTATTAATTTTTACAATATCCAGCTACACGCGAACTGCACGTTGCATAACACCTTATTTCATGAGGCCGGAATCCATTTGTAACAATTAAATTAACTAGCAATTTAATCTCTTTGATGCTAACGTGCATCTATAGGAATCCCCTTTTCCCCAAAACTGTAAAGAAATTTATTGCAAAAAATATCACCTTAGCCGGGAGTCGAACTCGGCTAATACACAACATCCGTATTAGCTAGCTCCTATAAGTTTTTACTATACTATACTTGAAATTCTCGGGAGCTTTTTTAAAATTATTTTAATTTTTTATTTTTAAATTCTACAATAAAATGAAGAAGAAAAAAATTTTTTTAAATAAGAAATATTATGGCAAATTTATTTATCTTTTTGTTCATTTGGCAACAATATTAGAATTTAAAAACTAAACATATCACACATGTAAAGTAAAAAATAATAATTCGTACCTGTATAAAATTATTTTATTACGTAACACTTAATAGACCATAATTATATTTTTTAGTTAAATAATATTGAATTAATAAGATATTATATTGATAATTAATGCATTTATAATTTAAGGGTGTATGAAGTATTCTGATCTTGAGATTTCCGAAAATCGATTTTTTTTTTTTTTCAAAAGTTAATAGTCTTAAGAATATTCCTCAAAATGTCTTTTGAGAAAAATAAAAATTGGATATACTGCAGGATAAAATATTGAAGTGCATGGGACTGCTTAACTGATTCAATTAACTAACGTTCCAATCATAACGTCTTGCTTTGAAAAACAAAAATTAAGACAAATGATATTTTACATTTACTTTATATGTATTTATATACTTATATTCTTTTTTAAGTAAGTTTGAATTTTTATTTATATAAAAAATATTTTCAAAAATGTTTTTGAAATTGTCTCTTAAGACCAGAATAGAAAGACCAGACCCTTTACCTTTATTATTGTATGTAATATTATAAAATCGAAATGATTTATGCACGAGAGATTATAATTCAATATTTATTCAAAAGTTCGTGAAAACTTTTTTTTTGCCAAAATTGCAATGTAAGAATCGATAGTCGGAAATTTTCGGTACTTACCGGAATTGCTGGACCGCACGAAAATAACGCACGACGTGCGATAATATCTGTGGACATCGCTGATCAGTCGAGAATAATTATTAATGCTTATTCGTTCCGTCAGCGATTTGTCCAACATAAGAAACAGCACCGCGATCGATCGCGCTGACGTGTACTTCATTTCGAGAAGCGCAAGTTTAAAAACGAGTACTACTTAGTGAAGTACGAGTACGAGTATGAATAAAACAATTACAGAGTAAAAAATACAAGTATATGAAAATCTATTTTGTCTAGTCGGGTCGCTGTTACAATAACACAATTTACAATTAATTCGGAATGAGAAGTATATGATAGAGGCACAATAAAATCGGTAACTTAACTTCGAAGTTATATATACAATAATGAATCACGGAATTCTTCGAATCCGTCAAAAGTATGACTATCGCTAAGCCAAGGCTTAAGGAATAGAATGAGGATACCCGCGACTCATAGATGTCAAAATTTGACTGAAGGGCGGTTATCACAAATGGGGATTTATCGGATTTGAGGATCTAGGGGGTAGGCGCAAAAGAATGTCACCGGAAGATGTGGATGTACCGCAATATTACAAATTACATAAAAATATGTAACAACACGATTTTTATCAGCGGACCATCGACAAAACCAGTAAATTATTCGTTCCATGATGGATCGAAAGATGGAAAAGAGCGGACATAATGTATACAACTGTCATAAAATTTTTTACAGTAACGCTATATATTCACTAAGAAATAATTGTATAAAGTTAATTCTATAATGATTCAATTAGTTTTTATTAAAAATTGTTGTGAAGAACTTATATAAATTAGTAGAGAAGACCGGAGACAAAAGTAACAGATTACAGTCGTAACATCGTGATTATTTTTAAAACTATAATAGGTATATGTATATGGCGGTGAGGCAAAAATCATTAGACAGACCGACGTTGGTTTATTAATTCTTTATCGGTCCACACGAAACGTGCACGTACGCAGGAGTAAAAAATACTTTCTTCATTCTTCAAGTAAGTTTTATTATGTATTTTTTTATGGTAAAGTTATAACGTATTATTTAAAAATATTTTAGTGATTATTTATGTTGATGATTTGCATATTTTAATTGATTTTCATTTATTTGTTTCACATATTTATTTTAAAACTTTACTTCAAATTATAAAATATCATGAGAAGATAATTGTTACATCAATGCCTGGAAACGGTTGTAGCGTTACAATTGTCTCCGGATTTGTTTGGTTTTATTTGAGTGTTTTTTTTCACAATATTATTTGAACTTATTAGAAAAAAAGAGCTCATTTCCGGTTTTATATAGATTTTGTTCTTTTTATTTTTTTGTAGTTAATTTTATTAAATATATATTATATATATCCATATAACATTAACATATTTAATTATAAATAATTGCAGTCCATAAAACTTAATAAATAGCTAAGTATTTATCTATAAATAATGTAATACAATCGTCCCTTTCTACTGTAATTACAACCGTCTCTGGAGATGAGGACAGTTGTAATAGTATTATAGTGTTTAAACAGTAACAACTTTTTTTCTAGTTATTTTACAATATTGAACACAAGAAAATTTTGTACATAAATAAATTTTACATCTAAAAATATTGGTTTTTAAAATGTAAATATTATAATTTAATTGTTATAGAACTTTAAATTCAAAATGTTTCATTTGTCTCCGGTCTCCCCTACAGATTAATGTAATTATTGCGCGATCCAATGTTGTATTTTATATACATATATATATGACTTAAGTAATTTTTTATACGAATGTTACAAAAATATTTTTAAAAAATCAATCATTTCTTATTACTTAAGACTATTTACAAACTAAAATTGTTAATGACACTTGGCTATTAGAGTAAAAATTTTTTTGTCTACGACCGCGCTTTAACATAATTCGGTCCACTGTACGTTATTAAACTGCCCGTTAATAAAATCACTAAATTTATTAAGTACCACAATTATTCGCCATTTTAGTTCCAAACGCCATCATTCAAAACATATACATAGTTATATGTGTATGAAACTATTTTGTAAATAAGAAGGAAATTATATTAATAAACATAAATTATATTAATTAATATTTTTTTAGAATGTTTAGTTTTGTTTATATATGATTTAACTACTCTAAATCATATGTAAACGCCATTTTGGCTCCAAATTTGAGTCTTATGGATTGCGGTACTTTAAGATCCATTTACAAAAGTCGCAAACACAAAACACAAACGTAAAAGCCAACGTTTCTCTCTTTCTTTTCTTTTTGTAAATGTTTTTGTTTCTCCGTGTTTGCGTTTTCGTTGTGCGTTTGAGACATATGTAGATGGAGCTTTACTCATTCGCGCATCATCCACAATATTGCTATTACATATTCATAAGTGACATTTCAGGTATTTTAGTTTTCACAGATTGATACATTAAGATCAGTGCAAACATAGGTGTGCATGTCTCGCAAAAGGGATATGACGTTGAGCACCAAAAATCTTTGTTATATCAACAATTTGATCACAGCGGATGATTTGAATGATTTTTAACAAAAAAAATAAGCTAGTATTAACAGGTATGTTAAAAGTAAAAGAATAAAGAGCTTTAGAAATCTCTTGTCTTTTCTTGCAAAAAATGTCTCTTAATTGTTATTTTATTTTAATATTAGCACGCCGTAAACATATTAATAATTTATTATATAATAATTATAATAATTATCATATGCATTAGAAGCATTAGACTTAAAATTCTAAGTTATTATGATTATTAATATCTGAATATACATATTACGGTACACATATTATATATTTTAAAAACGTAAAATAATAGGGAAACTTTAAATAACACAATTAACTGTTTTAACCCAGAAAACACAAAGTTACATGTAACGTAGTACTTGTTAGTTGTAATTTTCCACTCATGTGCTATATTATAGTCATATTGTTAAATAGGAAATTACAATTATAATAGGTACGATACATGTAACATGGTGTTTGCTAGGAAATTTAAAAGCACAAACAAATACATATACAAACAAATAGAAATTTTTTATTAATAGGAAAAGAAAGGCGACGAAGAAAATCTATCGATAGAAAGAAATCTGTTAATTCATTTTAAATTAAATTGTAAATTTAATCAATTATAGTGCTTTTTGATAAATATCTTTCTAGAAGGATAAAATAGGCACTCGATATAAATTTCCATCTCCTCAATCGATAATAAAATTTCTCTATAGTCAGCACCGCGTTTATAATAAAGCCTCGACAGAGAATCGCCAAAATTAGGATGACGTTAATTAAGCGAAAAGATTTGTAAATCTTGCTTCAACCAACTACAGCAAGAATCACGTGTTTTTCAGATCACACACCATGTTGTCCAGGAATTTCTGATAATTTATTAAACCCGTGTAAAAACTTACTATTAGATATGATCAGATAAGTTATATGTTCTCTCGGTGCAGATACTTGACGGTTTGCAAGGTATTTTTACTTCTAGGGTAGCTTTCCTTCTGAACGCTTAGCGCCATATCAGCAACCTTTCTTCTCTCCTTGCATATCTGAATCAGCAACAGACAACTGATCATGTAAAAAATTATAAGCACACATATAGTCTGGAGTAATCATATTAATTAGAAGGAGAAAATAATTTAATATGAAAATAAAAAATTGACTAGCTATATGTCGTTAAAATTAATTTTGCTATGCAATTCTCTTGATGTCGCGCATAAAAATACGGATTATTAATCGTATTTAGCCCTCGATCAGATCTCTTGGCACTACATATACTTATATATTGTTTATCCTTTATTAATTTCATCAATTTTAGCGAGAAATACTTTGACGCCTCGTACTTTGTCTGAAAATATAGCGAAAATTTGTCTTGTGATACTAAAACCTTTTGTCGCTCCGGATACGCATCAACGATACACCACAGTAGACAGTAGATTAAACGTGACTGTAATTCCATATATTACCGAATGCAACGGTATGACATAACTTCGATCGCACAAAAGGCATATGAACTGAAAATAAAATTTATCGGGCTCCTTAATCGCTCAATGAACTTAACGAGACTATGTAGTCACCAGTCGAGGATGCCGTGTCGTTCTTATTGTTAGTTACGGTTGTTATCGAGCGAACTTTGATTTTGGCAGCTGGAATATAACGCTCTGTATTTCCATTAATAAAATTTTCTTTACAATATCTCCGAGTTCTTTACACGAGTGCGGGAGTGCGCGAGAGTCTTGAGTGTGCGCGCCGAGAGTGTATCGCTTTCGGAAACGTACCACGGGCGTTACATTTTTGGGGGCTCGTCCAGAATCAACCTTTGACAAGTGGTGAACTATATGGCTACAACGAGAAAGAAGCTCCGCGTTGAAACTCCATAGCCTCTCATCAGGAACAATGGATTTAAGAGTGGTGATGCAGAAGATTTGACAGTTGCGAAAGGAACAGGCGCGGAAGGACATCGAATCCGCAGCGCTGCTTCGACAACACGAAAGAGTTACATCGCATCCGCAAGGAGCTACGCGCGCCTATGAGATAAGTCCATCCAATAACATAGATTTGCGTAATTCACGTGCTTTGGGAGATAGGGTTACAAATACGATACAGAATGTCGGAGGTGATCCATACGAAAAAACAAATAAACATCATAGAAAATTACGATATAAATGATTAAGGCAAAAATAGGTTTGACGGGGCAGTACCGCTACAAGAGTTTTTGCCTCAATTCAATTTAGTTACACGGGCGAATCGCTGGGCAGAGAGGACGAAGGCTATCGCGTTAGCCTCATAATCGATACCGGTCGGCGCAGAAATTCGGCCGACACACGGGTATATTAAATAACTGATACATAAGCGATTATTATATACAATAAGTGCTATAAATATATTATAATAACATTATCAATGGTTTTCAAAAAAATGTTTTTAAATAATAAAAAAATATAATAATATGAAAGAATTGTTGTAAATTTCACAATAAATATAGAAAGATTGGTTACAATCTGGTTCCACAGAGGTTGAAGTATATTTCGAAATCTTGTATATCGGAATTATGAAAGAATATAATTATTTATTAATATTTAATATAATTATTAAAATTGCAAGTTTTACACACAACAAATCCTTATAGCATTTATAGCTGTTCTTTTATTTATTATGGCAAATAGCCAATCGGTCCATTATAAAATCCTCGAAATTGTGAAATTCTTTTGTTGTTCTCCTTTCGCAATATATTCTTTACGCCAAGATTATAACTCAATGTTTTAATAGACGATTCGTTCTTCTTAATTCGAGTTTTAAACGAATAAAACACTTTTTCGATTATCAATACAAGTACTGCCAGGATCATACTGCCAACCATTATCATCAAAATCGGCGTTACAACGTTTATATTAATTATACTGTAAATCATCTTATTAGGAGGATTTTTTGCGAGATACTTGTTCAACAACCTTTTTATAACGCCATTATAATGGAACCGGTGCAAGCTGAAAAATACGAAAATATTAAAATATTCGCAAGCGAAAAGGAAGAAGCAATCATAAGAGATTTGATCTGTATTTTTTGTAAGTATACATAAATATGTAAATAAATAAATGTGCCTATAGAACTTACTGATAATTTATAAAGCCAGTGTAAGGATTTCCTTTTGATAGCGTTAATCCCAAATGTTGGATACTTCCGGTATTAATGTATACGAGCTTACAATGTATATACATGTCACAAGCGTCTTTATCAATCTGCGTCGCGTAAAATGCCAAGTTCTTCCCCTGGCAGATCTACGTAAAAATTGACGTGAATCGACTTAATGAAACGTAACGTCATTGATGTCATTAATTAGATGATATCGCTAACTTGCTTAAATGCCTCTGGATATGTTGCTGGTAAAAACTTCTTCTCTTCCAACAATTCGTACATTTTCCGAAATACTGGGTCTTTGACACCCTGCAAAATTCGAGAAAGCATAATTTGAATAAAAAGATGCTGTTTTTCTTTCAATTATGTTGTCGGAATAGAATGACAAACTCTCGCTAATAATACTTATTATGAGAAACTAAAAAATTTAAAAATGAAAATATATTCTCTGCAAATATGAAATTAAATTTTCTAACATTTAAAATTGTCAAATTTTTAAAAAATTTATATAATTACTAAAATTTTATGTGCAACGTTATATCGTGTAATGTTAAAAATTCAAAATGTTCTCGACTACATTTCCAAGATTGCGCGTTTTTATTCGCATGCGCTTCTAATGAAACTACTGCAAATGACAAGTCGCTGTTACGCAACGTAATTTCTAAACTTTAAATAATGACGGACTCACACTAGGAGCCTCCATCTCGGCGCTATTTTGTACAATGATTAATTTGTAAGTTCCATCATTGACGTAATCCTCCAGAGTGGAAAAAGGCAGTTTGGGGGAATCGAGCGTCAGAAAGCTGACCAACGAAGCGGAATAGATGGCAAGAATTACTATGGACGAGATGTAAATCGAGATAAAAGCCAACCTCACTGGTGACTCTCTGGGAAATTCTGCGATTGCGTGAAATATATAATATTACAATATTTACGTGTTCTATTCGGGCACCAAATATATTATTGACATATCGATGTACTAACTGCTTAAAACGTTACTACATATAATATAAAAAAATTATATAGATAAAAATATTAAGTAACGTTATTAAATATCTTTATAATAAATATTACCTGGTAGACCTTGTTGGCAATAAATTCCCCAAACATTAATACAGTTTTCGGACATTAAGTCCATCGAGAAGTATCCATTTTTTATTTTCATAATAGTCAACATAAAAGAAGCAACTATTATTATTATTAATATTGCTACCCATATCTCAAAGCTAAATGCCTGCAATATTTATGGACGAATGAAAACAATTTATTCAACTCGATTTTGTTACCACAAATCTTCAGTTATACAATTTATTTTAATACTATCTTTCATTCAACAGTAAAGATGTAATACAAATGATCAAATAAATAATTTAATTTTCAATTTTATTATAGATAATATTTAACATTACGAGATCCACTTTGTTTTTGTCATTTTTTCTTGGAAAACGCATTTATTTCAATTAAAAATATGAATTAATACATACCTTAGTGAAAATATTTTCCATCGTTTTTTATTATTTTTTCCCATCTTTCTGGCAAAAGTTGGATTTCACGACGTTTAAACGATCTGTTTTTTGACGAGCAAGCCATGTATCCATCTATTTTCCTATTCGTATTTGGAAAAATATGTATCAACAAGCGCGTGTTGCATCGATCGGAAAGGATGGTAATCTGATTGGCCAAGTCTGGAGAATATGCTGGGTGCTAGAGAATTTCCTACTCAAGTAACGTTTCTTTCACATATTTTGAGATATTCAGGAAAATCTGATCTCAAAGATTAGAAAAGTTGTTTATAGTCCCGTCAATGGGCTGACCAACATTACTTACAATTAGTTGAGGAGTGCCATAACAATTTCTGGATAGATATTGTCCAGACATCTGGCATGCGACGACAAATTTTTAGTCGGGCAATTTAATTGAAAATGATTCTTTTGCATGACAACGCGTGCATGATCACATGTTGCAAGAACCGAGAAAGAAACATTGTTAGAATGAGAAGTTCTCCCGCACCCAGCCTATTCTCCAGACTTGGACTTATCGGATTACCATCTTTTTCGATTCATGCAACACGCACTCGCTCATTTTTCCAATTACGAACAAGTAAGAAAATGAGTGGATACATGTCTTGCTTCAAAAGATATTACGTTTCATCGTCGCGGAATCTAATTTTTGCCATAAAAATGGGTAAAAGTAATAGAAAACGATGAAAAATATTTTGACTAATTATAAGATAAATTTATATTCTTATTGAATAATTATAAGATTAATTTATATTCTTATTGAAATAAATGCGTTTTCCAAAAAAAAACCGATAAAAACTAAGTGTATCGCTTAATATTTAATTATATTGATACGGAATAAATATAAAACATTGCTTTGTGAAATTTTTATAATATACCTTGTAATTGTGGTACATATAAATAACTAATATACATATAGGCAACGAGAATTACTACCGGTATACTGTCATTCCTTTGTTTTTAGATTATATTTCTTAAACAAGAGCTATGAATAAAAATTTGACAATATAAATACAAATTTGAAAACCATTTATCAAATATAGCAACTTTTTATAATACTGTTTAAAATATGACATTATTTAATACTATATTTTTGTATGATAAACATAAATGAGCCTCAAAACCAGCAGAAAAAAGAGAGATAAATATAAGGAAAAAGAAAATATAAATAAAATTATTTTATGAAACTCAAATCATGTGAAACAATCTAAGGTAAATATACCGATGAAAGGAGGCTGCTCCAATGATCTTGCCCTTTATATATGTTATCAAGTTGATGACCCCAAGTGTCCTTCAGGTGGTTTTAGCCGTCGCTCGTTATTCGTTA